ATTTACCTGTCTTCTCTTGTAGCCTATCGACTATTCTTTCCCTTTTCCACTGTATTTTAGGACTTGCACACAGCTGGACCAAAGTTTGATCTTTGGCTTGAGTCCAGTGGCGCAAATCTCTCGTGGAATCCTGTCTTACCTGCTTACCTTCAGGTATAGACCCACCTTTCGGGTCTTGGCTCATCTTCTTCTCTGGTTCTATTGACGGTGTTATTTCAAAAGAACTTTCTCCCTGGCCAAGGTCTTGTTTTGGCCTGCCTCTTTCTTGAAATCCCGATCGCTCACATAACAGTCCTCTAGACTTTTTCAGTATCGCCCATCGGGCTTTTACTGATGCGATCGTTCTTGCCTTACCCGTGACGGAGCCGAGAGCCGCATTTATTTTCTCCTCTTTCCAGTTAATTCGGCCATTTTTATCTTTCAATAAACTATACAAGATGTTATCTTCTTCCTCAGTCCACCAATTAGCTTTGGCTCTGACGGTGTGGTCGTTAACACTGTCGAGGACGTTGCTACAGCTAGAGGTTTCTACATTCCCGCTATTGCAGTTTAACAGATCCACACGTGTATCAAATTCCTCTAGACTTTTTTCTCTTCTGGTTCTTGCTATCTCTTCACGTTGGACCTCTCCCCTCTTGATGTTTCCCCTTCTCTTGCCGGCTCAATATCCCTTTATACACTACAAAGAATCTGATCATCGTTAGTCGCCAACCCTGTTTTACTTTCCCTACGTGACATACGCAGGCATTTTCTTACGCCGGAACTCCTATTACGTCCACTCAATTTTGGACTTTGCTCGGAGTTTTGTCCGGGAGTTAGTAACGGCGCCGTCCGCAAGCGCCGCCTGGTGTTTGAAGTTCCAGGTGCACCATTTACTATTTCTTCTGTCATATATCAATATGTGCCCGCTAGGTCTCACTGATAAGGGTTCCAAAAGGATTAAGTACTGCCCGATTTGATTTCGGGGGTACAACACCGCCGCCTGCGTCCATCAGTGATAGCTAGTTGGGGCGAAGAATTGTGGTGAGTCTTAGTTCAGCAGGTGTCACCACGATACAATACTTGCTACAACACTACTCCATCACCTGCCTATCCATCCCTAGCCACGTGGAGGCTCTCACCATATAGGGACCAATGTAAAATTTAGATGCAGTTTAACGTACTGTATACATTATACCTTGTTTATTGTTCCTTCCTTGTCGTCGTTTCCCAGAGAAAGAATATTAGTAGTAATAGTGATAACAAAAAAACAAATAGAAAAAATAGTATTACTAGAAAATAAATAAATAAAAGCCAGGTACTCTAGTAGATATTATTTTTGGTGCGCCGTCCATATTGCGTCCTTTGTCAGAGAACAGCAGGGACACAACCGCTCAGCTGCTGTACATTGCGTTCTCTCTCCTCATGCGCGTCAGATTTTTGACAGGAGGTAGCACGGGATTAACGCCTGGTGTGACCCAGAACCACTCATGAAGTGGTAGATTCCCCGCCCCTATAGACACAGCCGCAGTATCTCCGGTCATGGTCATAACAGACAATGACCTTTGAGACTTAGTGATTGCTATAGGCCATAGAGTGTCGAGGCATATCATTGAGATCATGTCAGGAATGACTCGGGCCATAGTGAGTTAATGAGAACAGACGCAAAAAAATGTTTTAAAAAAATTTTTTTTTTCTTTTTTTCCGGTGTGGCATAAGGGAAAGTTAGGCGCTGAGTAATACCACTACTGAATGATATTGTAATAAAAGGAATGGAACTGTAATCGTAATAGATGGTGTACTATACACCAGTCGGCGGTAACGTCCGCATATGTCACAAACCATTTTGGGATGGAGAGGGAACTATGCGAAGTGGTTTTTTATTATTCTTGATGTCCCGATCACGGCACTGCGAGCCATTCGCTCAAGCAGATCTGTTACCTTCTTTTCGTTTAGATCTAGGACTTGTTTTATTTCATTTTTAGTTTCTAACAGAAATTCACCAGTACTTCCAACAACTGCGGGAAGAAAATCTACTTTGTAATGGTACTGATTATAAAGGTCTGCAATCAAGTTAGGTCCATGATTGTACGGGAGGATCAACTCGTTATTGATAATCGTAGAATTAACAGAATATCTGTTAATTTTCAACATTCGCTGTTCAGCCAGTTGCCTATGGTGCGCCACGGAGATCTCTATGACCGAGATATATTTCTTGACATAGTCAATACAAACAATATCAGCACATAACATCACGAGTTTGAATAGTCGTATTCCAGTATAACTGGACCTGTGCATTACTTTGAACTCCTGGGACCTGTTGCGTGTAATGGATTATTAAAAGGTTATATTTATCACATAAAACGAAGTAGATGTTTCTTGCAACTTGATCGTGCCGTTCAATATATAAATTATTAACCCAGTAGTTACACCCATTAGTCACATGTGCACTAGTTTCTTGTACTTTTCCACACTTTCTACAGAGAAGAGTGCCATGTTCAGTACGCATGGCAGCTGATGCTCGAGTGTGGAGGAGATTTTCTTGGGCAGTCCTAGCATTGCGAGTATTTTTATTACTCACAAGTCCTTTCTGGAGCCATAGAAAACTAGTGTCAAAATCAAGACTGTGATTTCGAAGAACATCACCAGCACTATCGAGTGCTTCATGCGCGTCAGTAGTATGAGGCTAGCTGAGGTCGATTAACGCTGGAGGTGTTTGCCTCCTAACCCCCCTAACTCGGGCGGTGATTCCCACGCAGAATTTAGATGCGAAACACTTCCAAGGTGCCGGGGGTTGAAAAGCCCAGCTATCCACACCCGCCTCCGAAAGAAGCCCTACTAGTGCATGTTAGTAACTTACCTATCATAACTCTAGACTTGTTCTTAGTTGTATAACCGGGGAAGTGCAGTGTATTCTATCTTACCTAATGTGTGTATATTGTGCCCTGGCTATATTCCTCGTCGCTTCTGTCGGTGTGTTGATTAGAGGGTTAAGTGCTCCGAGAAAAGAAAAAAAAATTGATTGGTTAGCATGTTAGTATCTTGTATTATTTATTTATTTGTTGTTTAGTTCGTTATTTTGACAGTTATTTTCGTTAATCTGTTAGTCCTCATTTTTTAGCTAAGTGATTTTTTACTATTCGCCCTGTGTTAACGACTACTGCCCTCGAGAGTCTCTCGGCGATGTCCTCTAACTTCCTTCGATTCATTCGAGGCAGTTGCTCCAACGCTTTCGTCGTTTGATAAGTGATTTGCCCGGTGGTGCCAATAACAATAGGAATAAAACTTACGTCC